AAACGTCAATTCTGGTTGCAGTACTGTCTATCAAATTTTACAAACATCACATATGCACTCCTACGACACAGCCGTCATGTCGGGTTAACGTCAGTTGTAGTTAGGCGCTATCCGGTGAGGTTGATTTGTGTAGCAGTGTTGAGGGCTACCATCCTCGTGAGCGCCAGCGCAGAGACCAGCGTTTCACATCAGCTTACCGCTTCTGGTGTAGCCAATATCCATGCTGCTGTTGACATTGTTACGCAACTGCAAACAACTCCTAATGTAAGACATATGCGGCTGTTTAACGTATGTGTGCGCGTGGATTTGAACATATATTGAGCGCCACTTCTTAACGTCTCAGTCAATGAAAAAAATTAAAGCGCACTCTCCTTGCATCTGCATGCTCTGCATACATCCATTCCTAAGGTACGTGGGATATGCCGAATTTATTATTATTTTTACGAGTGCTGTATTTTCTAGTTAGCCTGCCTCCCGTTCCTCTGTCTCACTGTAAAACATTGATTTGAAGCACATAGTGCAAATTCTTGTTTGATTGCTTGCTTGCTTGCTTGCTTGCCCCTTTTTTTTTTCTGGCGCATGTAATCCATTATGGGGTATCGGCCATGAAACTAAATAACGGTGCCTGGCTAGTTAAAAGAATTCGTTTATAATTTCAAAACGTTAAAAAATGTTAAACAATAGGTAGTTTTGAAATCATTTGTTAGATTACATCCCACAAGAAAAAGAGACTAATGTTTTAATGAATATGCTTAATTTTGATTAAATAACCTTTGAATTAGATGATTTGATAACCTTTGAAGGAAATTCATTTTAATAAGGAAAAAACAAAAAGGACCATTTTTAAAACAAGTTTGATAGTCATGAACTTATTATTCAATTTGTCTTGCCTCTCTTAAGAAATCGCATATGACCTCGCAAACGCTCCGGTGGACAAAACCCGGCACGGTAGCCCCAAAAAGAAAGAAGAACCGGAAAGAATAAATTTAATCTCAACCTTCGAAGTTGTTAGTCTAGGCGTCTTTTCCTCTGATTGGTGATGTGCATGTTAGGTAGAAATGATCAAGAGATTCACTTGCAGTGTGCTTGCTTTTCTTCATCGTCTAAGATACACTGTGGTATGTAGTCGATGTGTAGTCGGCGAAGAACAGACCGCCGCCGGCTATTTTCTCAAGCACCGTCGCGGTTCGATGGCGACACTCCTGTCTGCGTTTTTGTTTTGTTTTTCAGCAACAAATTCTTTTTTTTTTCAAAGAGATAAAAAAATGTCAAGGAAAAGTAAAAAAAAAAAGCTGAGTCCCTTACCATCTTGTCTCGTACGTATGGCGACTCGAAAGAGCGTTAGCCCGAAGTGCATGTGTGCCCAAAAAGGTTTCGTTTCTGGGATCCCATCGGCCGAAGCTTCCCCCGCACGTTGTCCGCGAATTTCAAACGACGCCGTCCACACAGCCGGCGACTTTCGGTGTGTTAGCAACTGCGCTCTTTTGTCTCCGAAGCGTGAGAACTCAACTCTTCTGGGTCGCGCGAAGAAAAAAGCCGCCTTGTTGGACCTGCTCGGATCCTCTCACGCAAATTCTCGCTCGTCGTCGTCGTCGTCCGTGTGTGCATCGTTCATCTATCTATCGACGCCGGTGTGAACGGCGCGACTTTGTGCGCACGGGCCGCTCAACCTGTCGTGTGCGTGTGTGCAAAAGCGCCGTGTATACGTAGCCGATTTCTTCGCCGCAGTTCCTGCTTTGCTCGTGGCCGTTGGCCCGAACTTCTTGGTCGCCGTGGGAACCTCGACGCACACGTCTTTTTTTTTCATTTTCCTTTTTACAATGCCGGGAACTGAAAGATGGACAAAGTACTTCCATTGGAGGTGAAGTGAGGAGGACGTTTGTCCAGGAAGACTCTGCGGGAATTGCGCGCGTGTTAACGCAGAAAGCATTACGGTGCGCGCGTTCAAAGCAGCAGCTAACGAGCAGAGCGGGCGTGCCCAGGATTGCCAGCCTTGCGAAAAGCTGCGCCCCACTTCACACGCTCGTGCGATAGCCGCCGTGCCAAAATAAAATAAAATATACATAGCAACGGTGGAGGAAACTTTGTTAATGCGGAAAAAAAATAAGAAGTTAGCAGTGACTTATAGCTCGATTATGCCAAAATATACGTATCGTAAGCTACGGACAGGTGGACAGACATACGGACGGACGGACGGACGGACGGACGGACAAGCGGACTAGCCAATGAGCTCACGTGGGTTAAGCGCCAGCCCACTCCAGGAAATTCCAGGCAGTCTCTGGCGCGACAGCTGGACGCCGTGTGACGTCAGTGGTCCATGCGCAGCATGGCTCTCGATAAGCCTCGCGAGACTGCTCAACCTCGGTGAATGTAGCTTGCGCTGCAAAAAAGTAGCTTGATCGCCATAGCTCCTTGGTGCATACCCAAGTGGTGCTGACGAGCACGATTGCTTGGGTTCTATTTGTACTATAGTTGTTGCAGCGTTAATCTAGCGCGAAATATGAAAGTCAAGCAAAGAAAGATGACAACGTCGACGGCTGCCAAAGCGATCACGGACCGTGGCATCATGAGAGAAAACTGCAAGCAAGCGCGGGATGTGACGTGCTGTAAAAACAAGCATCTTGGCAACGTTCTATCATTATACAGCTTTGAAAGATACAAGAAATTAAAATTAGTCCGCTCTGGTGCGAATGTAGTTTCGGTACTCGGCTGCTGACGCGAAGGCCGCGTGTTCTATCCCGGTTGCGGCGTTCACATTTCGACCGGGGTGAAACGCCGGAGGTTGATCGGGCGTTGTGCGATACGCCGGTGCACGTTAAAGAACACCAGATGGCCGAAGTTTCCGAAGCCATTCACTGCGACGTCTCTCATCATATACCGTGGTTTAAGGACGTGAAACACCGAATAATATTCGGGTAAGAATTAAAATTATTTCGATATAATGTACCGTGAATACGTGCCTTGGTTTCTTCACTGGCTACGCAGCAAGTGAGTCGCTGTCCCTGTCACCTGGCTGCAACGGGCGTTTACCTTCAGTCTAATGTGCATACATGGACAGTTTTATAAACCTTTACTGTCATCATCATCATCAGCCTGACTACGTCCTCTGCAGGACAAAGGCCTCTCCCATGTTCCGCCAGTTAACCCGGTCCTGCGCTTGCTGCTGCCAATTTATACCCGCAAACTCCTTAATCTCATCTGCCCACCTAACCTTCTGTCTCCCCCTAACCCGCTTCCCTTCTCTGGGAATCCAGTTAGTTACCCTTAATTACCATCGGTTATCCTGTCTACGCGCTACATGCCCGGCCCATGTCCATTTCCTCTTCTTTATTTCAACTATGATATCCTTAACCCCCGTTTGTCCCCTAATCCACTCTGCTCTCTTCTTGTCTCTTAAGGTTACACCTACCATTTTTCTTTCCATTGCTCGCTGCGTCGTCCTCAATTTAAGCTGAACCATCTTTGTAAGTCTCCAGGTTTCTGCTCCGTAGCTAAGTACCGGCAAGATACAGCCGTTTATACCTTTTTCTTGAGGGATAGTGGCAATCTACCTGACATAATTTGAGAGTGCCTGCCGAATGTGCTCCACCCCATTCTTATTCTTCTAGTTACTTCAATCTCGTGGTTCGGCTCTGCGGTTATTACCTGCCCTAAGTAGACATAGTCTTTTACAACTTCAAGTGCACTATTACCTATCTAGAAGCGCTGCTCCTTTCCGAGGTTGTTGTACATTACTTTCGTTTTCTGCAGATTAATTTCAAGACCCACTTTTATGCTCTCCTTGTCTAACTCCGTAATCATGAGTTGCAATTCGTCCCCTGTGTTACTCAGCAATGCAATATCATCGGCGAAGCGCAGGTTACTAAGGTACTCTCCATTAACTCTTATCCCTAACTGTTCCCATTCTAGGCTTCTGAAAACCTCCTGTAAGCACGCGGTAAGTAGCATTGGGGAGATTGTGTCCCCCTGCCTTACACCCTTGTTTATTGGTATTCTGTTGCTTTCTTTATGGAGCACTATGGTAGCACTTGATCCCTTGTAAATTTCTTTCAGAATGTTTATATATACTTCATCTACGCCCTGATTCCGCAGTGTCTGCATGACGGCTGATATTTCTACTGAATCAAACGCCTTCTCGTAATCTATGAAGGCTATGTATAGTGGTTGGTTATACTCTGAGCATTTCTCTATCACCTGATTGATAGTATGAATGTAGTCAATTTTTGAGTAGCCTGTTCGAAATCCTGCTTGTTCCTTTGGTTGATTGAATTCTAATGTTTTCTTTACTCTGTTAGCAATTACCTTTGTAAATAGCTTGTATACTACAGAGAGCAAGCTGATCGGCCTGTAATTCTTCAAGTCCTTGTCATCTCCTTTCTTATGTATTAAGATGATGTTGGCAGTCTTCCAAGACTCTGGTACTCTTCCCGTAAGGAGACACCTCGTAAACAGGGTGGCTAGTTTTTCTAGCCACCTTTACTATATCACACGTTTATGGAGCTTAATTCCGAGCTTGATAGAAGCATTCTTTAGAAACTCGCTCAAAGTCTTCTGATATATTTATTGCAACGTCTTTTTAGGTCTTTAAATGTCTTGTTTTATCTTGCTATTTATCGCCGGGTCACGAAAAGTACACCCTGAACTTTAAGGCGAAGTCATTAAGTGCCTTATCAGCCGCTGGTCGTGGCGTGTCACAGCAGTGTTCATTGATTTACTATGCAAATATACGGAAATTTATTTTCTCGCTATACATTCCTGTTCACGATACATCAACAGAAACATAGTCTGCTACAACGCTGGGTTACGTGATCGTATATTCGGACATCAGTGCCTTAAGTCAGGACGATCAACGTTGATATAAATTTAGAAAGAATTATTACAGACAATAAAACTAACGAACCGCGAACTTCCATTATGCTTACGGGTACATTTCGAAATAATGAAAACGAAAACTACCACGTGATTGCGCACACGATAAACGAGCGTGACAATTTTTAGCTTCAATCGCGACGACTAACGAAAGAAAGCAATCGCTCCCAAGTACTCCTGGGGGCCCGCTCGTCGTCGTCGAAGGAGCGCAGATGGCGGGAGAGAAGGTCGTGCACCACGCCGATGATGTTCGGGTAGCGCTCGGAAATGCACTGCGAACAGACGCCACAGTTCAGCTCCATGTTGTAGAGCGCCAGGCAGGGAGCGCGGTCTCTCTGGAGCGTGCCGTTCAAGAGGTCGGTCAGCTTGGGCACCACCAGGCGCACGCTCTCGAAGCTGAAGAAGCGCCGTCCGTCTTGGCCGTACGCCGCGACCGCCCGCTCGTCCAAACGTACGCTCGGGTGCTCGCAGACCTGCGACAATGAGACGCCATGACAGGCATGAGATTTCGCCGGTGCCTCCATCGAACCTGTGTACAGCCGTCGCGCTGACGTGTACTGAAAAACGGGCCTCGGATCGAAGCTCTACCTCACATATGCTGCGATATAACCAGAATCACGATGTGCCATAATGTAGACTGGTGCGCTGTAAAGGCGAACACATGAGTGTACGGCATGTTTATATTTTGATATCTTACGGAAACATGGTAGCTTAGATATACATAAGATTGCTGGTTGTTGAAAGTTCTGTCTCCTCTTGACATAGTGACTTGCATGAAGATTGTTTTAATTACCACTTGCTGTTAGAGGCCCAGCAATATTGATGGTTTGCATTGGAGTGACGGTACTGAACAATCTTGGACACGTTGCACGTCCAATTTGTTCGGAAGGTAGGGTGGATGGCACCACCAGTAAAAGTTGCGCATTGAGGTTCAGCGACCTATATAGAGGCTCCATTGGTTACACCGCGATTTTAACGCATGCTTATATAGGCAATCTCTTTCGCCGGGTCGGTCATTTCGTACCTCGCTAATTTTGTCGGCGGACCAAGACGTACAGACCGCGCCAAGCTTCGCTTCCTGGCCGCTCGTGTTGAAGACGAGTGCGCCGAGGAAGACCGAGAAACAGCCGGCCAGCGCAGGCGTACCAACCACGTGTCGCAGCTCCGGATGCTGGCCGAGGATCCTAACGGCGCCGCTGAGCGATAGCCGTACGTTGCCCTCGAATTCGTCCACATCTCTTATCGATGGGAGGCTTGCGCGGCAGCGACCTCTGTGGTCCGGCGGTGGCACGTGCGTCTCCAGTACCAGAAGGGACAGTGGCGTCACGGCTCTGTCCAACACGCCCGGAGGGAACGCGCGCAAGGCGTTCGCGTCGTTAACGCCTTCGAAACTAATGCCGAGGGCGATGAACATGCCGGGGTTTTGCTCCGCCAGCAACCTCAAGGCTCCCGCCACGACCGCAAGCTGCGACGGCCGCACGCGGACGTGTAACAGTGCCAGACCGTGTAGACGGTGGCGGACGAGGCTGGCGTTGAGACGGCGCGCCCGAGACGGCTCGAGTGCGCCCACGAACTCCTCCCAGTCGCCGTACGACGGTAGCAGGCGCGTCCGTCTACAACCGGACGCCTCCCTGAGGAAGGTTCGCCAGCTCGTAGCCACCTGCGACGTCGACGCTGCGCCGAGTGCTTTGAAATCGTCGGCCCGCTGGTCGTACGCGACGTGGGTGAACACGGTGTAGTGGCAGACGCCGTCGGGAGGGTAGGCCTTCCTTCGGACGATGACGCCGGTGCCCACGGTGCACACGAGTGTGGTGTGGTTCTGCAGAAACCCGGTTAGCATGTTGATCCTTGCGGTGAGAGCCTGGATTTTGTACAGAGGTCGCCAGCCCAGGTTTTTTTCGGCGATACGCGGTGCGCTCATCACGGCCAGCAGGAGCGAGGCCAGGGCAACCGTGACCACGACGAAGAAAACGGCGGTGAAGGCGATGAACTTCAGCGTCGTGAGAGGGACTCGACGGGCGGCCCGAAGCAGAGTGGCGGTCACCGCTGCGAAGTCCACGAGACATAGCGTGTTTCGAAGGCAGCTTCTTAGTATTCGAACGATGGCGCATAAGCGCATGGTGACATGGCCGTGACTTGTTCTCATCGGCATGTGCACGAAGAACGCGCACAGCGCATGTGGCTCCTCTTCTTCTGGATGTCTGGCAGTTACACATGCCCTGCACTGGTCATACCCTGACCACGTAGAGAATAATTTTTAACAGTGGAGCCGTTCACGCCTGGCGTTGGTTGGTTGATTGTTCATCATAATGTTGGCGCAACCAATATCTGCGAACAGGAAACTGTCATCATTTTGTCGTAATAAACCTGCACGCTCAAGCTTCTTCGTCCTCTCCTTCCTCTTCTACTTCGCTGCCGGAACACGTGTGTCGATTTGTCCGGCTTGGCATGCAACAACTATGATGGAGAGTGAACGAGTATAGAGAGAAGAAACAGGAACAAGGATTAAAGAGAGAAATTTTTGGAGCAAAATATTTCTCTATGAAGCAGGACCCTGAATTCAGGTACCCATTATACGAAGGCGTTCATCGTAACCGCTCGGCTATCCAGGCACGCTTACAGAGAGTGACAGAGAGAGAGCGAAAAGACATTTATTTGGTCCAGAAGGAGGAGAATGACATGCGTATACATCCAACTCCTGACTAGACCCATGTCGGGACAGGGGACGCTGAGCCTCTCCGCCCTCCCACGGGCCTTTCGGCCAGCCTAGGAGCTGGACTACGTAGCTGGGGTCGTTGATAGCAGCGGTTCACCAGGCTTCTTGACAGCAGTCCTGCTATGCAGGGCATCGCCGATTTTGTTTAATATTTTAATGAAAAACTGGAGACGTTTCGCCGGGCTGTTCGCCTGGCATACTCCAAGTTCTGGGAGATGATTATGATATGTGCACTGAGCACATAAGACATATATAGAGCCACACACGTTGACTACACAATGTACAAAGTTTCGTTAGGCTAGGAGAGCCTAACACAGCCTTGTATAGTATATAGTATAAGATACCAAAGAGATAAGAAGTAGAGATGCGAGGAAAAGGAGGAGGGTAGAGAGTAAAGCATATCGTAGAAATAAGGGTAAATGGCGAGAAAGAAAGGGGAGAAAGACGGAGAGAGAAATATATATGTATCTGCTCTGATGAAGAACATGCGCATCCATCCAGCAGCATCGACAACGCTGGGCTCGTGCTTCTGATCGTTGCTGTGCCTCTGAACTGTTCTTCACGCGGCCTCGCCTCTTGTGGCTCCTGCCCTATAGGACCATGGCTTCGATTTGTTCTTGGCATCCGTTACCCAGAAAGTGTGTGCGTCGAATGTAACTTTCCAGAAGACCTAAATCATGTCCTTTGTGAATGCAGGCCATACACATCAGTGAGACAATCTCTGAAGGCAGTCTTCTTGCACCTTTAAGGGAGATTCGAGCTTAAAGCTGTGACATATTCTGTTCGCACGGCTAAGCAGCACCTGCGCATTACGCGCCACGAAAGCGCTGCTGACTTTCTTGCGGGCCACGAGCCTGGACAAAACTTTGTAAACAGTGTAGTGTATGCGTGCGTGTGTACTCGTGGCTGTGTTTTGTGTTTATCAGTTGGGGGGGGGGGGGGGGTCTTTGATCGAAGCACGCGCTCTCGGAGCGAACGGACACAGCAGACGCTGTCGAACCAAACCGAAAAACACATTTATTTAACTGCTTTTACAACGACGATATCGTCAGCCGAATCGAAATGCATCACTCAGCACGCTAAAACAACCTTACGCAATATTATAATACACTGAATCTAACATAAGAATGAACACAAGGTAGTGCGAAACCGGCGCCGCCAATGCTCGACTCACAACGAGGGCAGACCACCCGCAGTGCCGTCTACCTATGGACCCACCACAGGGGACAACCGTTCGCGCCAACAGCCACACGCCAGAAAGAGGCTCATAGGTGTTCTCTGAGAGACTCGCCAATATTATCTGACCGCCCACCTAACTTCGCCGCCAGGCGTCACTGCTGGCGCTACCGCGCTAACCATGATGATGATGGTGGGGATAAACGCTCGCGAGTGAAACGACACCTATGGCTTGACGGCTACTAACCCTGAGTGCGGCCTACCCGCAGGACACGTGTGCGCCACGAGGCGCAAACAACTTTACAGGGGTGTTAGCACCCCTACACACTGCATATATCATAATCATCACCAAGAACCTGGAGTAGCATGTCAGGCAAATAGCCGAGCTAACATCTACAAATGTCAAAAGCTCCATTTCGTCACAAATTCCCCGTTGTGCGAGCTTATCATGCTATATTTGACTCGATAATGAAAAGGAGTGATACACACGCTATTGAGAATGCGTTTACTCCCACGGATGCACCTCCGGGCACTTCGGTCCGAGCTTCAGGGCATTAGAGCGACGAGGTCAGCTAACAACAACGCTTCTTATATCCTTTAGTCCTTGGCCGCAGGTGTGTGGCATCGTTGCGCTCGAGAGAACGCATTTGTCTTGTTTATTTAGTGGATGCATAGCATCTGCGGGTCAGTCCTAAACGGTTCTTCACGCGTCGTCTATAACGCACGTCACGTTTCCGTGGTCCTTGCCTTTCCCCGCACGAATCCTTCTGGAAGGCATACGCGTGTTTTCTTTTTTTTTTTTTACCGACGTGCGGGCTTTCCTTTAGTTTAGTTGTTTACATATTGACCTCCCCTACATCTGCCTTTGGTCGGCAAGTGTACTCTACTACCCAAGAGTTTCCGGAACGCGAATTTTTCGAGAAACCTATAGGCTCCAGCTTTGTCTGAGAGCACAGTCTCCGAACAGATGTTCCAACCACTAGTTCTTGCGACTGCTAACGTCAAGGTTAGAAGCGCTGTGCACCAACAGAGCCGCAATTCGCATTTTCAGTGGAGCCTACATCGTGCAAACTTTCGTGGGTGGTGGTACTCTAATCGTATATCTGTATCCATAGATGCTCCCGCAGAATGTATCCCCTGACAAGTTTGGAAATCGGCCATTTTAGTTTGCACATCGAAGAACGCCAATCGCTTGTGCGCTTTTTTTTTTCCCCAAGCGAAGAGCGCTAGGAGTTGTTGGTTTAGGTGGCGGTGGGCGTTGACGACGTAGGCCAAATCCTGCTCAGGAGAGTACGTGAAAATGCGGCCTCCACAGGTGCACTGGTGACACGAGTACTTGTATGCGTCGTTGTCCAACAACTGATGCTCTCTCTGTTCTGAGCTGTTTTAAATGCGAAGCATTTCTTAGCGAACTTCGGCGACTTTGAGCTATATATCCTATCTATCTATCTATCTATCTATTTTATCTATCTATCTATCTATCTATCTATCTATCTATCTATCTATCTATCTATCTATCTATCTATCTATCTATCTATCTATCTATCTATCTATCTATCTATTCTGCCTACGACTTCTAGCTCTCCTGGCCGTTTCGATAATGGTATCGTTACCAAACTTGGTATAGCATAACATGACTGTATGAAGAACATGTTTGACTAGTCATACCATGAAATACACATGACATGTATGTCATGAATGTAGATTTACATTTCATGGTCCTGCAGCTCTTGCGGTGGTTTCGTTCACATGGCATGTTGTAAAACTGGTATGGTAAGACCATACCAGATGGCCATCATTGCATGGCGAACACAACTGACAGACTCCAACATGAAAATCATGATATGCGTGTCATGTAACAACATGACTACATGCCACGCTCATGATGCGCTCACGGCCGTTTCGCTAGCGTCACATATACCAAATTTGGTATTACGGTACGTGAATGGATGACAAAGGTCTGTGGCTGGTGCAAACATGATAATCATGAGATGCGTGTCATGTAACAACATGACTACATGCTACGCTCATGATGCGCTGGTGGCCGTTTCTCTAGCTTCACTTATACCAAATTTGGTACTACGGTACCTGAATGGATGACGAAGGTATGATGCAGGTGCGAACATAATAAACATGACATGCGTGTCGTGCAACAACATGACTACATGCTACGCTCATGATGCGCTCGCGGCCGTTTCGCTAGCTACACATGACCAAACTCGGTATTACGCGACGCGAACGGACGACATAGGTAAATGACACATCGAAACATGATAATCACGGCATGCGTGTCATGTAACAACATGACTACATGCCACACTCATGATTCACTCGCGGCCGTTTCGCTAGCTTCACATATGCCAAATTTGGTATTACGTGATGCCAATGGAATACGAAGGTGTGTGACTTGTGGAAACATGATAATCATGAGATGCATGTCATGTGAAAACACGACTACATGCCACAGTCAAGGCGTAAATGCATTTCGGCACGACGTGGTGCGCGTGCTCGCCGGCGTTCATTTCGTCGCGTCACGCCGGCGTTGCCATGCCAGGCGCCGCTCCTGCCATATACTCGCAGGTGCGCGCCGCACTGCGTTGCTTTTACGCATGTGCGTTTCAGCGCGTCCGGCGTCCCTCCGTCACGAAAAGATGAAAACGTAGTGTTGCCTCGGTCATAGAGTTTCTCAGAATTAACTAGAGGGCACTCTGGCGCTGCGATCGTTCAGCGACCAGGGTAATGATGGGTAGTACACACATTTGCCTGGTCTTCGTACTTGCGGGCGGTGAATCGTACTTGCGGCTTTGTTTATTACTGGTTACGGTTTTGTTTTGAAAGAACAAACCCTTTTGAACTTAAGGACTTGGTTCGAAATAGTAAGCTTAAAAGAATAAGGTTGTGAAGCGCAAACGGTGAACATTTGCTAATTTAAGTTTTCGTGAAAATACAGCTCCAAGTCACACGAACATACACGGAGCCAAAAGCAGGCCAGAAGTACGAAAATTAAACAAATGTGTGTATTACTCATCATTCCCATACTCGTGGAAGTGCCGTGCGTTGCAGCTCCCATAGACACTAGCGCCAGAGTTCCCTCTAGTTAGTATTGTGGGAAACTCTATGGCCTCGGTAACGCATCGGCATAGAGCAATATTACTCTATGGCATCGCCGCGAAATGCATCATGTCGCATTTCGCGCCGGTTGGCGTCGGGCCGCGCCGACGGACGCA